GCACAGTTGGTTTTAAATATGGCTGCGACATACCTGGTTGACGATGTTTTTCTTCGTCTTTGTGGAACTGCAAATGTTCCAAACTTTAGTTCAAGAATAGCCTCAAGGCTGTTTATGTATTACAAGCCAGTGAAGGCGTTACCTGCTCTTCTCATATTTAACGACACATGCATAAATTAAGAATATTTAAAAACGGTGACAATTACTTTTCTTGATGAAAATTACCAATTCCTTGTGATAAAAAGAGTGAATAATAAAATAAATACGACTAACTTCTTTCTTTTATCAATTTTCCATTTTAAATAAGTTTATATTTGTTTTACGTGCCGATTTCACGAACAGGTATTAAAACTTTTTTTTTTTAACTTTCAATTCAGTTTAAGTTGATAATTTATCGTTATATGAACTATAACGTTTAGTGTGGGGCACTTCACAGTGTAGGGGTGGATATGAAAAATTATCTTTGAAAAAATATCATCAAAACCTGGGCTGTTTAAAAATAATAATATTCTCGTAACACATTTTGCGTTTACTCATTTATTTATTCTACATTCTCACTGGAAATGGAAGATTTTCCTGGAACTAATTATGGGAAACTATCCCAGAATACCTGTTACAGATTCTGGAAGGGTTCTAAAATCTCCGAGTGTGGCTCTGTGCCAACGTGTTGAATAAATTATTGGAATTCTGCCAAGTAAAACATATAATAAGTTGTATCCCAAGGTAGTTTTATTACACACACGTCATTAAAATTTTGATGTAAATTCATTCATAATCTTGTTCTACATATTTTACCAATATCTCTTCATGTGGATGGTAGTTATGAATTTCGCGCAAAGCTACACGAGAGTTACCTGCGCTAGCAGTCTCAAATTTAGCATCACCACCCACTGTTTTACCACGAGAGTTATCTGCGCTAGCCGTCTCAAATTTAGCATCACCACCCACCACCGTTTCACCAACGAATAGTGGAATTAACTACCACATTATAACGCTCCCACGGCTGAAAGGGCGAGCATGTTTGGTGTGACGGGGATTCGAACCCGCGACCATCAGATTGCGAGTCGAGCGCCCTAACCACCTGGCCCTTCACACTTCCAATCAAGCCCAAATGTATATTACATACACATCTCTAAGAATTCAACATATGAATTGCATAATTAACATATAATCTGACCATTCATCAATTGTGAGTGTGAGTTTAAAGACTCAAAGATGGATAACAACAAATTATTATTCTAACGTAGAAACTAAATATGCTTTATTTAATTGGTTTATAGAACTTAAAAGTTGTAGTACAGAGTTAAGTTGCTGGTTTTGATTTCCTTTTGGTCTACAACATCATATCTGGTGTTACTAATGCTAAAAGATACCAGATGTGCTTTTTAATATCATCAAAAGAAAGTCTGAGCAGTAAAACTACAGCAAGTGATGGACATGAATGATAAACAATATGCAGTTTTAATTTTTTAAATATACCTTTTGATTTTTAGCAAACTGGCACACCTGAAAAAAATAAAATATTTCTCTGGTGTTGTTAAACTAAATCGCTACAAATTAAATTTTTCCTTCAAGATAGGAGTCCAAAATCTCAGAAAAATCTTACAATGAAGGAAGGTTATGAAACCTGTAGATACAACTGTCAATTCAGTATCTTTAAAAAACAACAATGGTCACAACTTTTAAGCTAACTGTATATAATTTACTTGAATTATTTCTATAAATTAAAAAAATAACAACATTGAACAAAATAAAAGTACTAGTGTGTATTGAAACTAGTGATATGATAGTTTACACTGTGTACCATTTACTTGATCTTAATTTTCCAAATTCATTTACTTGGGACTTGCATGTAAATATTCATATCATAGAATTACAATAATTCCTGATTAAAAGCAAAAATATAATTTTTATAACTAAAGATGAGGAATATATCAATATTTAAAAACATCCAATTCTGAAGACTCCCTTTGATATTTTCTATTTTGAAACCTGATAATGTAAGAGATTACACTTTTTAATATGTTTATTGTAGACACTTCAAATTTCAGAATCATTGGGACAAGAATTCTCTGTATAGAACATTATTTCTGCAGTTTGAAAAACAGTTGCGATGAATTTTTAGAAAGCTATTTCAATAAAGAGATAAGGTCCATTGCATTTAATGTGGATTTACAGCAAGTACCATCTATCGCTTGTAAAAATGGTCTAATCTACTGATTTTTTAGTATCTTTTTTTTTTGATGGACTGTCTACAATGTTACAATGAAAGATATACATACACTTTTGCAAATCCTTATGATAAAATGCAAGAAAAAATCAAACAGAAAGGCATGAAAAAAATATTTTTGCACATAATTATACTAGTTGATTCCTTTCATATAACTTTAAGATACATACAGAATTTAAAGTTTTATACTCATAAACAAAGAAATATCAAACATGTACAAACAAAACAAAGTACTAAAAAAATAACATTTCTCTGAAATATTACAAACTAAAGGGTAGTCATGACAAATAAAGATACTATCAGTGTGAATAAGGTCTTATTTAATAATAATGTAAAACACAAACGTAATAATATGAAGCATTTGTTAAAACGTGTTTTAGAATCTTCAAAATTCCATCTTCAGTAATCTAGATGTACAAAACAAACACAATGGGAATTACAACAGAAATATGATATAATTTGCAATAAGTAAACAATTTGAATACAAAAAGTAGAACAAGAGAAAATGAAAAGTATGTAGTGCAAATGAAATAGTTAAATTAAAATAGATTCAAATCAAATGAATAATGTGTATTATTTAGAGAGAAAAGTTACAACCCCTCCCAACTCCACTGTCTACCAACACAATACAGAAACACCTCATCCCATTGCTCTCTCCAACTTTAAAATTCTCTCAACAGCCAATCATGATACTGAATTTATAATAAAAACATTATACATTAAAACTCTTCTTTCATCTCTAATATATATATTCTTCAGTTGATTTAAATCTATTTTCATTCAAGTAATTCATTTTCACTGCACACTTTTCATTTTTTTCTCTTGTTCTACTTCTTGTAATCAAATTGTTTACTTATGTATTACAAATTATATCATATTTCTGTTGTAACTACCATTTTGTTTGTTTTGTACATCTAGATTACTGAATATGGAATTTTGAAGATTACGAAACATTATGGGCCCTGTTCTATTTTATTATTCTTAAATTACAATTTTTCGAAATATGAATCTATTACAAGGTCTTATTTATTTTGGTATTTACTGCAAGGTCCAAAACCTCAGTTAGTATTTTGTCATTCTCATCCAGCAAATCATTTTGTTTTACATACAATTCTGTGTTTTAAACCATTATATCATTAATACTTCCCTTCTAATATTTAACACTGATCCAATTACTCTACTGTTTTTTAACAATACTTATCAAGTAATTTAGCAGTAATACATGTGTGACATAGTGTCACAATAAAACTGATCATAATTTAAATCACATCATTCTTTACTGATATATTTAAGATACTATTATACACTTTTCTCACTGAAAACGTGTATTGGGCCATTAAAGACTGATGTGGTTTAAATTATTATCAGTTTGTTATGATGCTATACAACACAAACTACTACTAAATGTTATGCTTTGTAAGATAAGCCATACCACATCTAAATATCAATTCACTTTTATACTATGTACACATTATACTTCATGGGCACATAAAGTTGTTTCACAAATAACTTTCAGTATTTACTCATCTCAAATATTTAAAAAACCCATGAGTGAAAGTAAACTAATATATGTTATAATATGTAAACCACACTATAACTACTATATCTAGTGCTGACAAGGCCAATCGCACAATAACAGGGTTCATCTCACACTTTACAATTTAAAACATGAACAGCTTCGAACAGTTATTATTACTCTTTCTCATTTCTTTAATCCTGAAGAAGCACAGTCAACTATTTGAAAAGTGCTAAAGTTCCTGGGTCTTGTGAAATCTACTTGCCTTTTACTTGGTGATCCTTTGTGTTAAATCTTTCATCATGGTTTATACAGGGCAAAGTGAAGGAACACAGCAACATAACCCGAACATCCTGGAAACTTTCCTTTTTAAACTACTGTCTTTATCTTTTGTTTGATATACCATGTTGCAAGCCTGAGTTCCTTATGCTTTAGAAATTTATAGAAGTCATTTGCTAAATTAACTAAAAATTTATAACTACAATTGTAATGCCAGAAAGTCTCAGTATTTTGGTGGTCATATTCATGATTATAATATTTAACCAAAAGTTAACATTAGTCCTCTGTAAATATTTAAATGGACAGTATAAAAAAAAAAAGACATATTTTCTGATTTTTTTTAACATCATTTGTTGTAATAAACCTTCAGTATGCAAACAAATTCAATCTAAAGCATAAAAAAAATTATTGGTCCCAGAATAAGTATAAAAACTGTGTACCAAAGGCAAAAAAGATTGTTAACATGCATATAATCCAACAGGGAAAAAATACTAATTATCAATGTATAATCTTAATTTTTTTAGGTCGTTTGTTCAAGAGAAAATGTTCAGGCTTGTGTTTATGGGGCCTAAACTATAATTCAAACAAACTTTTAAACATATAAATCAGGCTTTAAATTCCAGCTTTTGAGACTCTTCTTCAAACGTAACTAAGTGACAGTTATAAATTATTCTACATGAAGAAGTTTTGGTTCATTAATTTAAGGCACATATATTATAAAAACACAAAACATATTATTAACTACTTAATCGTACTTCTGTAAATTTCAAACCAAGCACAAATAAAACAAGCTTTAGCAAAATCTTTTGCTAAAGCTCTTTCTTTAAACTAGGTATTCCAATGCAGTTTTTGTACAAGAAATTGTTCAGGAAGATGAAAAAACAGCTCTTCTGGAACACTAAAACAAACTACTGCTATGTTTAGTTCACTGGGTAACATTTAATATTTAAATTCCCTATTAAAAAACACAGAGTATTAACTTTCAGAACTAATCATTCACTGCAAGATTTATTTTTTAAAGAGATATATTTCATACATATTTATAAAAGCTTTATGAGACTATTTTTGTTTTTGTAACTTTTTTTTCAACAACATTTTTTTTCTTTCTTCTTCTTCTCTCCTAATGTCTTCCAAATCTTCCATCATACCAATTTTGGCACTAGAAAAAGAAACAAAACGTTATATATATATATATATATATTGTACATGAAGAATGAGGTAAATACATTATCAGCCTCTTTTGAAAATCAAGTCTCAGAGTAAATATAAAGGTATGATATTTGACTTTAATATTTATATAATTCAAATACTATGATTCAGTTAACACTATTTCGTATAGGTTGATGAAAACATTTGTAAAGTTCATTATAAAACCTGATGAATCATCATAAAAAATAAATAATTCAAAAGTGTATACAGGAAATAATGGCTTTCATAAAAACTACTATATTAAAAAATCCATACAAAGTTTTAGTTGCTACTTCATTTGCTAACTTACATCATAAAGGTACATATACTACACACACACACACACAGACATATATATATATATATATATATATATATATATACATACACACACAGACATATATCGATCTTTCATGTATTAACCTCATGAAAAAGTTCAAATAGGTTTTTCTCTTGGAAATTTTTAAAATATTCCAGTCTGAAAATGAGTAGAGAGCTCATTGACATTTAAAATAAAAAAGAACATTATGCTGCAGTCAATGATAATTTACCTTCTTTTTTCTTCTTTCATTATGTCCACATAGCTTGCTTCCATATCATCATCATCATCATCCATATGTGCATATCTATTTCATAACGAATGGAAGATTAATGAAATAAGTGTGTATTCCTTCTAAATCCTTTCACTTTGTTATGATTACCCTGAGTATAGTTCTACCTTCTTGTACAAGGAACACAATGTGAACCAATAAAACCTCTGCAATTATACACAATTAAATCTGGTTAATACGAATGGAAGATTAATGAAACAAGTGTGTATTCCTTCTAAATCCTTTCACTTTGTTATGATTACCCTGAGTATAGTTCTACCTTCTTGTACAAGGAACACAATGTGAACCAATAAAACCTCTGCAATTATACACAATTAAATCTGGTTAATACCAGCAGTTACTAAAAATCAACACAAAAGTTTATTTTACATAATATACAGATAGCAACATCCTTTAGGGAAGGGAACAGCTGAGTAACTTATTCCAGCCCAGACAACTTTGGCTCCTTTGCCTACATCAACATTTAATGTGTTTAAAATACAACTTGTCCTGGGCCTGAAGTTTACTGTCCTTTAGCGAGTATTTAGCAACAGATGATTTTTCTTGTTAACCAAGGAGATATTACATCTATGAAAATATGTATAAAGAAATCAACCTCTCATGCTTTTTTTACTTAGATATGGGTAGTTAAAGTCCGTTTTGTTATTTGAATCACCATAACATACTAACACATATGAATATGAGCAAGATATTCGTTTTACTGAATTTACCACAAAAAAAAAAAGGGAAACGAAAACAAACATAGCTCTAGCAACAAAAATACACAGAAAAAGGTGTTATAATCCCTTTACTGCTAAACATAACAACACTGTGAACTAAAAATAATGTAAAAAATTAGTTCTACAAACTAGAGGTTCAAGCCATCCTCAAAGACAACAGCAGTGCGTTTCACACGGAAACAAGTACTGACAATACGTAGCAATTAATACTTTGTCAGGAAACTGAAATTTGATGTGAAACAGAGGTTTATTATGGAGGAGTATCTGAAAAAATAAACTGACTAATAAACAATTTGATGTAACACAATACTTAATGATTTATTAGAATTCTTCAATATTGTATGTGTGAAACTAATGTCAGCCAGTATATGAAGATACATGGTAAAACTGTGTGGACTGGGGGTGGATATTCACATACATACTGACAAGACTTTCAGATATATATGTTTAATTTATGAAACAAAAAATTGTGTTTTGTTAATTTATGCCTACAGTGGCTTAGATGCAAGTTCCAATCACATATTCTTGTGGTAGAATTTAACTTTTTTACTACCTCTCTTACACAACTACAAATGTTATCTAGTTTACACTTAATGAAGATAACCTTTTCAATCCTCAACTCACATAGCATTATTTTTATGAACTCAAAATTAACCACTAAGAATTTTATTCAAACCTCTTAGCTATTGAACAAATCAAAATACTACAAAACCTAAAATGGTAATGATTTATTTTGAGAAACTTACTTCTGCTTGTTGTATCCAAACATTTTTCTGATGATACTAGAGTAATCTCCTTCATCTTCTTGAGGGTCATCATCAATAAAATCAGACAAGTCTTGATCTTCATCATCACTTTCAATTTGTTGACTTATTGGATTTCCTAAATATGCAAACATATATGTATGGTCAAGCAGTTTATCATAAATTATCAAAACAATTGTTTTCAGGATTACAAACAAAGAAAGAGAGTATGTCCTCCTAATTTATTAATTTTCTTAGAACTCCTTAACAATAATGACTATTTCATTTCTTATTAGTACTTTTGTTAATGACACAATATGAAGTAGTACACTGTGTATTACTAAGTACTCAATTAAAAGTAAGAAAAACAGTAATTTTTGGACGTATAAAACTTTTCAAGGATCAAATACTCTTTGAAAAATGTTACATTTATATTAATATATCAAATGATGTGAGAAAATAACAATTGTTTTACTTTTTCTTGCTTTTAAGAAGCAGAGTCTGAATCTATATTTTGTTATTCAGTTATCTGGAAGAAGTCTTCTTAAGCCTCCTATAAGGAGTGGATAATGAGAAAGTAACATTTATCTGAACTGCGCAACAGTCAGTGAAATTATTTAAGAAAAACACAATGTTTCAAAGCAATTTTTCCTACACCACATGTAGCTGACAAACTTGTTTGTATTTTAATATTTCCAGTTTCAAACTGAATGGTGTCTCACGTGATACACGTTAAACAGTCAGTTCAAAGACCTTCGAAATTCAAGCATAGCCACCCCTAATTACGACTGACTAACAGAGAAAGAGCAATCAGTCAGCAGTACCCACCTTCAAAGTATGTACTTTTAACCAAAAAACAAGATTTTCAAAGCTTTAATGCTCCAACAACTAAAAATGTGGAGCTTCTCCAGCAGCATATCAGGGCTTTCAACCTTACAATCTGCATTCCGACCTGCTTAGCCCAATATCTTTAAATATGCAGTCTATATAAGATGCTTAATTATCTTACACACACAAGGACTTAATATCACAGATGCGTATATTAATATACACTGCGAATAGCGTAATTTATAAAGATGCTGCCTTTGTAAAGAAACATAAATTAAAAATGCACAGGCTGTTTCCCAGTGATGGAAAGAAAGTGAGAAAATACATTGAACATGAAAGATGAAAGCCTGCTGCATTATTGGATGAGCTTAACTTGAGTGTACCTTCTTAAGAAAAAAGAAAATTGCTACAGATCATGATGTGATAATGATTTTCTAATATGATACAGGAAAAGTTAAAAATATTTTAGCTGGGCTTTGCAGTTGCCTCAAGCATTTCAAATAAAAATAAATTTTATAAAGTACATAGTAAAACAAAGGTGAACTCAATTTAATATGAAGATCATGGACTGCCACAAATTACACAAGAAATTTCTACACTGATGCTAACGAAAAAGGTATGACTACATCAGAATGAAACGTTAAGTCACACATAAAGTCTATAGCAATGTTTCTACAAGCTGTGGAGCATGTAACTGATGTTTAGAATAGCCCCAACTTCAACATAACTGTTAAGTTACTTAATTGTGTTCCTATAAAACATTTATGCATTACTGTGCTATTATAAGCTGATGCTCACATAGAGTGGAGGGTTCATGGAAATCTTATTAAAATATGTGTATTACAATTGACCATGCCATCCTTCAGAGAAGGTCATTACAATGGAAATTATGGTGTTGGGTAATAGTTCATAATTGTGGGCATTAGTGTTAACATGAAGGATGGAAATGCAAGGATAACCTAAACAGTTGTTCTTATAAACTGCAGTTAATCTTTTTAGTTCACACTAATTCCTTATATACACCTGGAAAAAAGTTAAGCACCCCCAAATATTTTTCAGGATTGCTTATTGAAAATAAGGTTTAATTTTCATGATGTTGAGCAATGTTCATATTTTCAAAC